GCGCCGCCTGCTCAGGGGCGGGCTCTGGGCCGCAGCGGGTGCCCCGTCTGAAACCTCCTGGCGCTCCGGTTCCTTTCCTGGCCGCTTCCGACTCTGTGTCCGCTCCACCGCCCCCCAGCTGGTGCTTGTGGGGTGGAGGCGTCCTGATTTCCATTGGCGTTTACCTCTAATGGGAGCCCTCGCAACACGTGACTGGTTAACGTAAATCATGTCAAAAACGCTGTTTTTGAGTTGCACTTGCCGCATGTCCAGTGCTGGGGGCACTGTGTTGGGCAGCACACACACGCAGTGCTCCCACCATCTCAGCGAGTCCCTTGTCGTCCCAGATGATGGGACTGAGATCGGTCAGTGTGAGTCCCGGAAGGACCGCACCCCTGAAGTGTGTTCTGTTCTCTTTTACAGACTCGTTTTCCAGGTGTCGGAGTAATATCGTAGAGAAAATGCCTATTGGGTGCAAAGAGAGGCCAACCTTTTTTGAAATTTTTGAGACGCGATGCAGCCAAGCAGGTACTGACAGATTTTATATAAATTGATCAATTGCAGTGAGCAATGTTTTCAGAAAAAATATGTAAATATGCATGCTTGCTGGGAAGAATCCAATACTTCACGTTTTTGTTTACACTATAAACTTCTTTATGGAACCGTAAGTCCAGTTAAGAGAATGAACATTTACAGTTACCAAATGATAAGAAACTGTAATTTCTTACTATTTAATCCTGGTGATTAAAGAGGAGACTGGCCCCTTGATTGGCAGTAGACGAATTAATTTTAAATCACAGAACCTCCAGCAATTAAGAATCATTGGCAATTTTACTTTGTAGCAGAAGTCATAGTTTTTATTCTCAGTACTCCTAACTCTTAAAAATGATTGAGGGTCTCAAAGAGTTCTTCTTTATGTAAGTTGTCATATTAGAAGTTAAAAATAAGAACTTTAAAAATATTTAATAATTCAGTTAAAATAAAAATAAAACCAACGCATATTAACATGAATAACATTTTCATGAAAAATACTTATATATTTTTTTAAAAGAGAGTGGCTTTGTTTTACATTTTTTCCATTCTCTTCAATATCTGTCTTAGAAGATGGCTGGGACCTCATACCTGTTTCCGTATCCAGTGTGTTGCAATAGTTGCTTTGGTAGAGGTCTGTGAAGAAAACCCAGCCTCACACAGTAATGTAGTTGGAGAAAAAAGGAGTATTTTAATAGTCTTCATTTAATTGTTTGTATTTTTCTTCCATACTACACCAAAACTTAAGTGGTAATTTCTTAAAAGTTGCAATGTAGAATCTGAAACCATGTAATGAAATGTTCTTATTATTTTTAAAAATGTATCTTTATTGTTGAAAGTATTATGATATCCCCCTTTTTTCCTCATTGACCCCCCTCCACCCTGCACCTCCCCTGTTCATATTCTTGTTACATTAAATTCTATTATTCTTTCTTGAACTTTGAATCTTTTATCCATATTGCAACATCATGCATTGATTATTTTGAAAGTGCCTGTGTTTTGAATTACAAATATTCCATATATTAACACATTGCATTAAACAATCTATAATAATAAAAGTGTAATATGCAAATCAAGCGAACGACCCAAGAGCAGAACAACTGTCCAGATGACCTTCCAGATGACCACGCTATGACAACCACTGGTGCCAGGCCAGCCAAGGCGGGTGTGATGCCATTGGTCCGGGGCCTGGCCGTTGTCCCATGATCACCCTGCAGGGGGAGGCCCAGGCCACTGGTTGGCAGGGCGATTGATCAATCCGGGGGCTCCATGATCGCCCCAAAGAGGTAGGCCCAAGCCACCGACCTGTGGGCTGTGGTGGGTGGGCCGGGCCTCCCTCTGCGGGAGTGATCCATCGAGGAGCCCCGGCCGGCCGGGTGGGCAGGGCCTACCTCTTTGGGGCGATCAATTGCGGGGCTCCCAGACTGTGAGTGGGCATAGGCCGAGCTGAGGGCCCCGCCTCCCCCCCCCCCCCAAAGGGCAAAATTTCATGCACCGGGCCTCTAGTATTAAAAATAATCATACTTGTTAGTTCACTGATGTCATCAGAAAAGTCTTTTAAGATTGGGAGGATGTCAAGCTGACAGCCTGGTAAAGTTTAACAAAATTCTAATTCTCATTTGAAAGCTCACATTGTTTCATTGCTGTTGTTTTCCCTCAGTGACA